GAAGGATACTGTAAAATCCCATTTCCTCCCCACCCCACTAACCTGCTTTCCAGCTCCGTTCTCCTGTGCAGGGAAACCAAAGAAGACCCAGCCGATCAGCTGGAACTCAAGAGGCGGAGAATAGATGGGGGCAGGGGCCAGTCAGAGGTGGTATTTGCCGGTTCTCCAACTACTCAAAATTTCTGCTACCAATTCTCCAGAACTGGTCAGAACCTGCTGAATACCTCTGATCTACATCAAGATTCAACAGTCCTCTCTCCACAGAGAGGGGTGGATACAACAACACCTATCTTCTGTTTACAACACACTCCTTTCCAATAGGGTTCCACACCCATTTGCACTATTCAGGTCACCCTGAGGGTTCAGATAAACCTCCAAGTGGCCTCAATGACCTCAGAGAGAGTGCTAACGCCCAGAAGACTACAAGGAATATAAATCCTTCCATCCTCCACCATTCAGTCAGAACTAAAGGGGCTTCTTGGATGAGAAGTGAAACATCAAGGAAAAACCAGAAAGTCCAGATGCCTCTTGGGAAAAAAAGCAGCTTTGGGACCTGGATGACTGAGAATCTCTATAGACATTTACCAAAATCCTTATGAATTCATTCAAAGCAGCAATGTGAGCAGACATGTTTCAAATCAAGATCAAATCAAATCTTGATTATGGTCAAACACCAGCATAGACAGACATGATTTCTCCAGATTTCTACTGCAGATTGCTGCTGGCATCATTATAATCAAGATTTAGAGAGGGGAAGAGAAGTCAGGAAAAAAATGGATAATCTTACGACAATATTATTCATGGTGAGCTTCAATGCATATAATTTTCATCCATTTATTTTAACATCACACTCGGAAATTAAGCAACCATTTTTTCAGTAAGCAATGGTGGCATTTGCAAGAATAGATCTCAAAATCCAACAAAAAGTAAAAGGCACTTTTCTAGTGAATCGAAGGAATCGTTTTAAAAAACAAGGAAGTTAAAAACGCTGCCAGTATTTGTTAAAGGAAGCAATGGGAGAGTTGAAAACTGCAGTCTAATGTATGTTACATAAAGAAATTTAGCTACAATAAGATTGTGAATATGGTTTTCAAAACTCCCCCCAAAAGTTCTACTAAACTGGGCAAATTTCTTACCCAAATAGATCTACTTAGAAACGGACTTGTAAAATTGCAACCATTAGCACTATTCCATAGATTTCTAAGCAATTATTTGTATCCAATACAAATGTTGTAATACTTTAGTACAGTTATTGCTACATGTCTGATAATACAGGAATTTAAATCAAAAAATTGCAGTTTAAGTTTTCCACAAAATGTATTAACTATTTTAATGTTTATTAAATCTTCCTATCCAGTTTAACAGTTCTGTATAGTTCCTTTATCTAATGATCATAGAAGCACCTACTTCAAGTCTGATTGAACATAACATTAAATCTAATTCATCTTCAATGAAGCAGGAAAACAAAAAAGAATAGACTAGTCATAGAATAGGCACCAGAAATAAATGGTTTATTTATTTATATTTTGATTATCAAAAACATTACATATAGTATTTCAACAAAGCTAGCATGCAAGATGTAAGAATTGTAGTATCTATCTGCAACTGACTGCAGAATTCTGGGAGTTGAAGTCCACATATCATTTGTTGACAAGATCAGAAACATTGATCTATATACTGTGTTAGCAGTGTGTCTATCTGCATCTACACATACATGATGATTCTGCTGTAGTCTTACACACACAAGTGCAAGGAAGAACCTCAATTTGCACATGCCTCTATACTGTCAATGCAAAAGTCCTATTCATCTCTGACTTCCCCAACAATTCTCATCTCTGCTTTAAAAAAATAAAGTTTGCACCATTATCTTGATTGCTGATACACCACATTACATGATGAAAAATCATAGCTCAATGTTTGACAATTGTTTGCAGGCAGAAAGTTCTAGCTTTAGTTACAAGCAATTCCCAGGCTGAATGATTAAAATGTTCCAAAGGTTAGGAATGAGCCGATCCAGAAAGTTTGAGTAGTTGGTAAAGGGCTAGCTGGATCAGTCCTTGGACTCATAATATAGGTACTGTAGTCCTCAACTTGCAACCATTTGTTTAGTGACTAGTTTTCACACTTACAACCAATGCAACATCCCGAAGGCCATGTGATCAAAATTTGGACACTTGGTGACCTGGCATATATTTATGACAGTTCAACTGTCCCAGGGTAATGGATCAGTTTACAACTTATGACAGATGGGGAGGCCAGATTCACTTAATGACTGCATGATTCACTTAACTGAAGTGATTCACTTAATAACTGTGGTAAAAAAAGATTAAATCATGACGCAAAATTCACTTAAGAATTGCCTTGCTTAGCTTAGCAACAGAAAGTTGGTCTTTATTGCATCCCTAAGTCGAGGACTACCTGTGTAACTTTACAGATTTATATAGATTTGAAGACTCTCAATCAACATTTTATTCCAAATTATTATTGCATTACATTTTTGCAAAAAAAAAACCTAAAAAAAAAATCCTAGAAAGTGCTGAAACTACTCAACAAATAAGCAAAACAGCAATACGTTTGCCTTATAATTCTTACAGAATTGAATTGAAATTACACAGTGATTCTGAACTCTTCAAATATCCATTTCTCTGGTTAAAATCATGGGGAATTACTGGTGAATGTATGAATTTTCTTCTAATTACAATGAAATGCACCATCATTATTCTGCCTACGTGCTCTCTGCTGCTGCTTCTTATTACAGTTTCATGACAAAATAGGTAAATCTTGGTGGAATGGAAAAAAAAATAATTAAAATAAGCGCCTTCTCTCCACAGAAGACTAACAGAAATGTTTGATCACGTGTGAAATATGCTAATCCGGAATAAGGAGCTGCTGCAGCCATGAAAGACAAGTCACAAATGTTCCAAACTCAGTTTAGTAATTTGTCCCCTTCCTCAAATAAATTTCACAAACCATTTTACTCTTTCATTTTACTCTAAATCAAGCATATTCAACTATGTTTCAACGGGAAACAGCGTTTTATCGCTACGTTAAAAAGAAAGTTCAGATCATGCACTTAGCAGTTGATATCTAAACGCAATCTGAAGAATAAATTTGACGAGAAACTTATCTATACATTTTACACTGGGCTGCATTGCAAGGCCCTCCAGGGAGCCTCATCAAGCAATAGAACCTTACTTTTTATTTTAACCAGGATTAAAAAAAATACCTAATAATGCATCCTGTTTTGATACTACTGGCCTATCTCCATCCCCAGGTCAAATATTCTAGTCTTTCCAATCGGATGTATTACCTCTTTGGAAATATTTGAAGTTTTGAAATAATTGCTTTTTAAGAATTGGAACCCCTGAAAACAAAGAGCAGGGATTAAAAAAAAAAATGCCAGCCATACCTCTAACTCTGCTTTTGTACTTGATTTTCTGATAGCTTCCCAGTATAAATGGTTGCTTATGATTCAGCTCTGTTATATCTATTATCTCAGAAACAGCAGAAACCTTATATAGCCGTTTTGTTTTCTTCTATCCCTATTAATCAAAACTAGGGGAGGTCATCAATTCTCCCCGCCACCCCCAGTGAAAATTCAGCCTTAAAGAACTGGTCCTCAAGTCATTGCAGCCCATACACAATGAAACCTTCCCAACTAGGTTATGAAACCCACTGCAAAACAAAAACGTACAGAAGTTGCCTGATGATATTTACATTAATGCTCAATATCGAATGATCTCCTCAAGTTCTCTGTGGAATCAGAAAGAGACCCTTGAAATCGAAAGGGAGAGATCCCTAACTGACAGCGAACCATTATAAAGGTTCTCTAGAGAAGAACTAAAGAGGATTATTCATCCGTGCACAACACGTTTTCTCTCTCTCTCTCTTTTTTTTAAGCCAACCTTTGTTCCTAGCGGCTAGTGACTTTCTCTTTGACAATATGCCTTCATCCTCTTTACCCACACGCCCCCCCACTCCTTGTACCTTTTCACACAGACTATAGATCTGTCATGTAAAAACCACTATATCAAAACCAAAACAAGACACCTCTCTAATCCCGCTGGGATTGGGTACGTTTTGTCATTTTTCCTTTTCCTGCTGGGAAAAGTATGGATCGAGTATATATAAAAAAGCAGTAGCTAGAAAACAAACCTCCTTTCCGGATCTAAAACGAGGTGCTTTAAAAAAATAATAACAACAGTACCACCACAAACCACAAACAAGCTAACCAAACCAGAGCATCCTTAGTTTAACAAAGATCAAGACAGGCATGCAGTGGGTTTTTTTTTTCCTTTTTGGAATGAATATATATATTCCCTGCAGGGCAGAGGAGGGGGGGGGGGAGCTTGATGACTGCCTATTCCAACAAGCATCAAGCCCCCTTCTACAAACCAGGATCCTTTGGAAACCCACACAAGCTTTGGTTTATTTGGGGCTTGGCTGTTTTTCCACACCGTTCAGGGGATGCAGGCCCTCCAGCCCTGGGCAGTTTCCAAACCGGACAGAAGGAGGGAAAATAAAAAATAACAACAGAGGCGGCTGGTACTCTGGTTTAAAGCAGAAGAAGAAACGAAACCTTTTAAATTGGGGTTGTTTTTTTTTTACACGACGAATCCATCCATCCATCCATCGGGAAGCCTGGGCTCTTTCCCTTCCTTCCCCCCCCTTTCCCCCCTTTCCTTTCTTTTCTCTCCTGCGGGCTGGAGAAGCAAAAATTAGGCAGAAATAACTGTCCGTCCCCCACCCACAAAAGGCCGGGACCGAGAAGGAAGGAAAACGGCGCAGCGGGACTTGCAAGGGGAAAGAGGTCAGGAAGCAGAGGCGGCCGCTGCAGCCGCAGCATCTCTGGGAAGAAGGCGGAGGAAAGCTCGGAGCGCCGGCGCGGCCTAGGGATCAGGGATGCAGGGATTGGGGAGCTAGGGGGGTGGGGAGGGAGAAAGCTGAGCCACCCGGCCGGCGGAGGCGGAGGAGGCTCGGCCGGAGGGAGCAGAACTCACCCGAGGCGTGTGGGGCGGACCCACGGTGGTCTTTGCTGCTCCGGCTGTGGGTAGCTGAGGGGAGAGCCGGCCCGGATGCTCTGCTGCCCCGCTGCCCTGACCGGAGGGGTCTTCAGGGGTGGGTAGGTGGGGGGGTCTTCAGGACGGTATCCGGGGTCGGGGTGGACCTGGAGGCAAGAAGGCGCAAGAGAGGGGTGGGAAAGGCGACCATCCGCCTCCCTTACGGCTCGGCTGCAGCCCCCGGCGAAGGGGGCGATTTCAGGCGGAGGAGGAGGAGACGGAGGCAGCGCCCCCCGCCGTCGGCTCCCCTCGGCTGGCAGCTCCCCGTCTCATCAATCAAGGCCCGGCTCGGTCGAGCGGAGAAGCCCGGAAGGTGAGGAGGAAGGCGGCGCTGTTCCCGCGGCTGCTGCTGCTGCTGCTGCTTCTCCTCCTCCGGTTCCAGCGGCTGGTGGCCATTTTAATTCCCTGCCCCGGCGGCCGCCGCTGCTCCTGCTGCCGCCGCCGGTGCGCCTGGTTCCCCTCCCTTCCTGTCCTCCCGCTTCCTTCTTTCCCTCCGCCGGCTCTCCGGCTGCGGGACCGACCTTCCCCGCCGCCGCTGGAGGGCTCGCTTCCTCTCTCCTCTCCTCTCCCTTCTTTCCTTCCTTCCTTCTTGGCCAGCCGCTCCCTCCACCAAAGTCTTCGGACCGTGGTGGGAACTGGTCCCCCGACGTCCGCGAAGCAGGCGAAAGGAAGAAGAAGAAAAAGAAAAGGAGGAGGGGACCGCCTCAGCTGGCTTTTTCCCTACCCAATCCCGGGAATTCTGCCCCCCGTTATCCCACGATCGGATCCAATACCGGCGATCTTTTTCTTTCTTTTTCTTTTCCTAATAGGAAAAAGAACCCCTCGCAGCGAGCCCCCCCAAATTATACTATCTATCTATCTATCTATCTATCTATCTATCTATCTATCTATCTA